CCCCGCCCCCTGCTGCCATTCTCACTGCCTAGGCGAGAATGACATGCCCTGCTTCTGCAGCCTCTGTGGATGTCCCCATCACATATCCCTGGAGTAGGGGGACAGAATGGGTGGAGCTGCACTATCAATGGGGGTCTGCTGTCTGAACCCGGAAGAGTCATTGCGGTTCTGAACCCTGAAGAGTCATTGGGGGTCGGCTGTCTGAACCCGGAAAAGTCATTGGGGGTCGGCTGTCTGAACCCGGAAGAGTCATTGCGGTTCTGAACCCGGAAGAGTCATTGGGGGTCGGCTGTCTGAACCCGGAAAAGTAATTGGGGGTCGGCTGTCTAAACTGGGAAGAGTTATTGGGGGAAGAGTCATTGGGGGTCGGCTGCCTAAACCCAGAAGAGTCACTGAGGGGGGCAACTACCCGAACCTGGAAGAGTCATTGGGGGTCGGCTGTCTGAACCGGAAGAAGCAGCTGGCTACCACCTTAACAGTGGATCAGATGGGACAGTGCTGGATTCGCTGAGTAGGTAAATATCTATGTGAATTGACAACAAATCAAAAAGTACGATGAATGACGCCGCCGGATCAGCATGGCACCCGGGAAGCTAGAATACACTTTATGTCACTTTCCTGCTGTACAATGAGGAGATATACAGGGAGGTGCGAGCAATGGGATCAATACAACTGATCAGGAGGACCCCACCAATCACTGACCAATGGAAGATCTAGGTCTATGACTCTAAAATGAGAAGCATGACAGCCAGGTAACTAGCTTATTGTAGAAGAGGTGACATATCAGCCTCTAACCAGCTCCATGCAGAGAGGTGCAGGAACCCCGAGCGACCAATCAGAAGTCAGCTCCCCAGTGAGATGACCCTGATACTCAGAAAAACACGACCCGTCACCCTCATTGGCTGTTCTGCCTCCCATCCCAGACACGTGACCCCCTGACGGTCGATACATTGTATCCAGTGATAGCCCCGGTGACACAATGTGACTACAGATCCCGGCATGCAGCGCGCTCAGCTGTCAGTGATGGGCTCCCGGCATGCCCCGCGCGGAGGGCACTTCCCGGCGTGCAGTGCGGCTCCATGCTGATGTCCTGAAGATGCCGATGAAGGGGAGATTCCCGATCCGCCGCACCATCCAGTATCTGCAGAGCGGAGAGGTCGTCTTCAAGGAGCCCGTCCGGGTTATGACTGTCAACTACAACACCAGGGGGGAGCACGGCCAGGGGGCCAGGTGAGAGAGAGGGGGGCCAGGGTAGGAGAGAGAGGGGTCATAGGGTGACAGGCGAGAGAGAGAGGGGTCAGGGT